TACTCTCAGGATTTATCCTGTAGCCCTGTACCGCCTTTTGTACATTCTTTTGTCAGTGTCTGACATGAGCATGAGTCAATTTATACAATTTTAATTTTTATTTTGTCTTCTTCTTAGTCCAGGTTTGCCAAATTAATTATATTACAACTATACTTTTCTTTGAAACACACAAGCTCCTATTCAACAGGTCCAGCCAGATTTAATAGTGGCTCAAAGAATCCTGTATGGCTTACTTTATTTATGTACATTTGTGTTACATATTTTGATGAACTCTTAAGTTCATCTAAATTTAAAAAAAAAAAGTCACTTACCTCCTTACCCAAAACCTGTTTTCCATACAGGAGAAAAAGCTAATGATGACAAGAGCAATGAACATTTCCAAATAGTTTTTTTTTTTCCTATGTCACATGTACCAGGAGGTATTTTCTAGCTGTGGTATAACTTTATTTCTTTGCGAAGGATTAAATTAGACTCCAAGTCTTCACCATCTCATCAATAAGAGGCAGCGATGTCCACTCCCACTTTTGCTTCTGGCTTTATGCTTGGCTTTGACCAACAGTAGGTAACACTGTCCTATGAGTGTTACCACGTGAGTGCCAGTCTAGGGCTTATGAGGTGTCACAGCTGTACCTGACACTCGGAATCTGGAGCTGCCATGGAAAGGGGGACTGAGTGGGGCTAGTAACCAGTACCACTTGCTGGGCTGGAAGTGACACCACTGGCTCATCCAGCCTCAACCAGAACTCCAAGAGCCACAGTTGCATGTGACTACAGCTGGTCCCAGTGGAAGAGAGCCGCCTCCCTCTGAGCTGGCTGGGTCTAAAATGATGACAGTGAGTTACAGTTGCTGCAAACCACTGGCTTGGAGTGGGGGGGGTTGTTCTATAGCAAGACTGCTGTCTACTCCACCCCACTAGACAGTCTTGGTCTGTCTATCCCAGCGAGCCCTCTTGTGGCAGGCGTGGGAGCGTACAGCAGGGAACAGGATGCTGTGTTCCTGGCAAGTAGCTGTGGTTGCAGGATGAAGTCTGAGATGAATCAAGAGTGTGTTTGATGAGCCGAAATAGTTTTGTTCTTTCCCCTTCCCAAACAAGGCAGAAAAGGCTGCACGTATTTTCAGGATGGTTCTATTCAGTGTGCATTGCTTTGCACCATTGTAAAAGAGAGCCATCATAATTCAGAGACCATTTATGGATACACAGCTACATGTCTTAACATCTTACTGTCACTTCTGAGGTCTCCCTATCAGCATATGGGACAGGAAAGCAGCGAGATACCATGTGCCCATTCTCTTTCTGACTTTCAAGCAGTGGCCCCGCAGACCTCTCTACTCTCAATAGCTTAAGACTGCACTGTGCCTTCCTTCTACAGCTCCTACAAAGGAAAATGTTTCTTTAATTTGCTTCAACTAAGACCTCTCAGTGTCTTGGAGCATCCAGGATGTTGTCTTTCTGTAGTGTTATCCTTGTGAAGGTGCCTTCTTCCATCATAGTACAAGTTCCAAGACAAGGCGTGTCCCCCTCTCTTCCCTTCAGTAGAGGGCAAATGAACTTTCGAACTCAGCGATTCACCCAAGGACATGATTCCTGACCTTGAAGCTCTATATAAGACAGTTGAAGGTTTAAAAAATAGAAGTTCATTTCATTACAGTGGGATGGAGGAGAGGAGCATTCGGAAAGTCAAAATCTTGCTGACCTCGTGTTGGGTGGAGCCCCTTCTCACTCAGGTGTCAGGATTCTGAATGGCAACATGATCACTGGTCAGAGAGGCTTTTATTTACTCCTGTTAGTGGTGGCCTTACTAACCACAGACCCTTGCATGGACCAACATCCCACAGCAACATCTAGGCCAGATCCCCCTGTTCCTGCCTCTCTTGACAACTGTCCCAAAGAGGTCATGGAAATACAGCCATCTACACCCAAGAATGAGTGCCCAACCTGTCTGGAGCTCTCGAGAGAGGGGTCTCTTCGGAACTCTGCTCTTTGTCACTGTGACTGCCAGAAATTCCCACTCTGGTATTCTACTGTCATCAGAAGAGTAGGGGTGAGTCACAAGGACATCCACAGAGAAGTCACCCAGTCCTTTAAGTTCTTCTTTAACCCTTACTTGCTCTTTTTATACTCCTGTCACCCAATCTTTAGTCTCTGTGCTGCCGAACTGAGCACTAGTTATCCTACTTCAGAGTAGTGACAGCTTCCATATCAGCCAATGAACTCAACTTGAAATTTTGAATGGAAATAGTGACTTCTTAGTCATCAACTTAAAGGTATTTTTTACAGTATTCATTTTTCTCCATTTCAGCTATTAACTGCTCCTTCATTCTGAACCAATTTTTATAAATAACTTCCCTATTGTTTCTAAACTCATTGTTGAGATCTCTATATCAACATATAGGACAGGAAAGCATGACTCTAATAACCAACCTGATTGGTTTTGGCTTTGGACTGCTGCATTCATGTTCCTTGCCTTGCGTTATTACTGTTTTTTGTAATCTCTGATAGTTCTCCTTTTTAACCACTCACTAGCTTATCTTTCAAACTTGATTACTTATTACTTCAAGGAACTGATACAAACCTCTTAACTAGACTTATAAAGACTACTTACTCTCTTCTAGCATTTCATCATCATTTAAAAAAATCACATTTCTAGCCAGGTGGGTAGTGTAATCCCAGCTACCTGAGAAATCAAGGCAGGAGGACCATTTGAACTCAAGAGTTTAAAACCAGCCTGGGAAACAAAGGAAGACCTTTCTCAGAACAAATGAAAATACCAAACCAAAAGACATTAAAATCAAAATAAACTTTAAAAACCTATCTCAGTGGTGCTACAATGTCATGTTATTTTCACTTTAGCAGCTGAGTTGACTCATTATTTTCTGGAATGAACTTTGATATCTCTGTGCATCCTCCCTTTGAGCTGCAGCAAACTATGATTCCTTTCTTAACCAGCCTGAATTTCTTCCTCTCTTTTATG